ACCATGGAACTTCAAATTGAATTAGGGAGCGGCAGAAAAACAAACACCGTAACCTATAACACGTATTGATCTTCTCACATATCTTTTTAAGTAACTCAATCATAGCAAATTTGCTATGTATTCCATTATAAAAAATGTAGTTGCTCATGAGTAATTTCAACATATACAGATATTATCACATAGATTTTTAAAACTCAGTTATGCACAATGTTGTAATTTGCTATAATTGTGTAAATTGATATTCACACGGTAATTTGTATGCTATGTGACCGTACAATTGATCTCTTCATCAGAAGAATAGCTTTGTTGACCCCTCCATAATAAATGTCCCAAACAAAGGTGCCATGGTAAATATGTATTAGAGGAATAGTTAATTGCTATTTTGAATCAAATTTATGCTATATATGATTATCCCAAGAAGTTGCTATTTTTCTAAAAGTCATTAAAAACACTCATAATGCCTACATGTATTTTTCGGTCAAACATCTACAACGCCTTCAATACATAATTCTTAGAACATAGGAGTCCCTAATAAAAGAATGTGGGATTACAATCACTAGGCTTATGTCCAGTAGATTCAATTATATTTATGATTGAATTATGCATCCAATGCTTTGGAGATGTATGAAAAAAAAAAAAAAACATGTATGCTAAAATGACTGCTTTTATTGTCATTTACATGTATAATGTCAATGCAAGTGAAAACTAATGATGAGTGAGTTTAGAAGCATACATTACAATCATATTGTTGGGTTGCGATTCATCTTGAGAGGCTCTATTTTTGGGCCATACTAGATACAAGCACCCACAAATTTATCCTCTGGTAGCCAAAAGAAATGTTTGTTGATTAAATATTTATATTAATTACAATGTTGCTAGTTTAGTGTAATTGAAAATTGCTTCTGTTTCCTTATTTGAAGAAAGTATCCGTTATATGTTTGCAAGAGCATTGAAGAAATCCATTTTCAAGCCCCATTCCTCCAAAGATTAGAAAGTTCATCAATTTTGAGTAAGTTTAATTGTTATTATTTCTTAGCATATTTATTTGTTCATCATATCAACTATGTTTTATTAAAAGTAGTTTGATAGTAACTATAGGCAAGAAGTTTCATGGCCATGGTCTTACTGCATTAATGTGATCGGCTTAGTCAGGAAATTCCATGCGATTGGCTAATTTTTTTTGTTCATTTTATTCCAGGGAATGATATTGAACTTTCAGGACTAGAAAAGTCCTTGAGTATCCCAGTAACCAAAGGATGATATCCACAACAATGTACTATAAATTTACGTGGCATCCAAAGTAGGAGCTGATGCAGTTTTGAGTCAAATTAGTCTGGTAGAGACAGGGTTCCTGATGTCCAAAGCGCCTATTCAAAAATTTGCTGATTACGTAGGTATTATGTTATGGTTTTGTTTGATCATGTTGCAGTGGGTGATCCACTTATGTTTCATTGGCTATAGTGTTAAATAATTTGAAGATTTATTTTTTTTTATTTTTTTCAGAGGCTAGAATTGTATTTCCTTTTTTCTTAGATTTGAACTACTGTAAAAAGAATATTCATGGAGTATAAATAATATGCACAAATTTTCCATTTGTCTTGTTTAAGCTTGAAAGGTTCATTTTGGGGCTGCAAACTTTTGCTTAGACTGCATTCTATCTAGAGCTAGTAATTTGAATAGGTTGGGTTTATTCGAGTCGAGCTCAATTCGTGTCGAGTTTATTTAAATCAAACTTACAGTATCTTACTCTCTTCAAAAACCCTAGCCATGCCCAACCTTAATTTTTTTTCAGCTAGGTTTGGGTTGACTTGGCCAAAATTGCCACTTAATCTTTTTTGATTAGGTTCAAGCTAGTCTGTTCGACTTAGCTAAAATTGACGACTCTATATATATAGAGTCAAAAATTTCAGTGGTCGAGCTTATTTGAATTGAATTTAAAGTAACATCCTTTTTTAAAAAAATTTATATAACCAAATTTAATCTTAACTCTTTTCAGGTGAATTGATATTTAACTTGAGTTATTGACTCTAATTTTTTCACACCAATACTATTTGATGATAGAAGTTGAATGTCGCATTACTCTAAAAAAAAAAAAATCCTACTTTTCCATTTTCATCATAGCCTTCAAATGGCAGAGTAAACTGGCATTTTTGACATGAACATTTTAGTCAAAATATTATTTTTAAAACAAACAAAAAAGACCATAGCCATACAATTTGCAATATTCGAAATTCTTTGCTAGTGATTTTCCCCACTTTTTTTTTTAACCTTTTCACAGTATCTATCTACAACGAGCTTTACACACACAAACTCATTGTGTGTGTGTGGTGTGTAGTGAGAGAGAGAGAGAGAGAGAATTTCATAGTTCAAGAAGCCGTGTTATAGTACATTTTTTATCTGAACATGCTACCTAATTTGTCTTCATTATTTCCTTTGCGGTAAATTCTTCCATACCTATGATTAGACACCAGAACGGAGAAAACTTGTGTGCCCTGCCTTTGCTGAGTCACATTCGTCTTGAAGAGTCACATTCGTCTTGAAGTCTCAATTATGGTCAGATATTTTTTAAGTTGATATATTCATGATTCATCTTCTAATTTTCAGGTATAAGATTTTTTTTAAACATTATAATATTCTCTTTACTACTGTTCCTTCTCTCTCTGTTTTTTGTGCAATTTTTGTTCTTTATGCTTGGGTTTGCACTTTTTTTAATCTCAAAACCTTAAGTCTATTCAATTTTTTTTTCTTCTTCTTCTCCTTCTCTCTTTTCTTTTCTTTTTAAATGTCTTGTTGTATTTTTTTTCATCTTTAATTCTTTCATTTTTTTTATTTTTTTGGTTTCCAATTAAATGGTTCTAATATTATATTAAATTTTTTTATTAAATATGTTTAAGGATAATATGTTTTATTAAAATAACTTAAGTCATTTGATTCATCTTTTAATCTTTAAATGTAAGATTTTTTTATATTTTAATAATTTGAAGGTCCACATGATAATTTTTTTTAATAAAAACATGAATACGACGTAGATTAACAAGTGGCAATGGAACTAGCATTGGCATATTTTGGTGAAAAGAAGTCAAAGGGCAACAATTTGGTGGTTAAAAAGCCAAACCCATTTTATCATTTTATTAAAAAAGCTGGTGGTCTCATTGCTGAAAGGAAAAGTAACAGACCCTTTTTGTGAAACTTCTTATCCCATTTAATGAGCGTATGAAAGTGACATAAAACATGCATAAGGAGCTAGCGAGATACCTACATTATATATGCAATTTAAGATCTTACAAACCTTTTGCAAGGGGAAAAGAGAGAAGTCATAGCAAAAACGAAAGCACGATCAATTAACCACGCGAATTTAGCTAAGAACCTAAAATAGATTGAAGGAGTATCTGCTATCTCACTGGGCCTTTATAGCATAGGGGCTTTGGTAAGGTTAGAGTGTTTAATAATTATGCTAGGACAATAACCTTTTTTTTAGAAATGACATTCAGTTACAACCTTACTTTGACATTCTTGCCAACGTTAGATCTTTGTTATATAGAGACTCGAGCGTGACTATAGAATTAATGTAAAGAGAAGCTAATTTTTATAATCACTACTTAGGTATAATTGCTTCGAACTGGATTGGTGATTTTTATACTTTTAATCATCCACTGCCTTATTGTTAAAAAGTGGCGGATTATAAGAAGCTGATGACTTAATTTACTTGTATCCTCTATTTTGAGAATGTGATCATATTTTTCAGTCTAGAGGGGGGAAAAAGGCTTTATCATGGCCAATGTATTATTCTTAGTCCTCATTTGCTTGAGCATTGCATTTGCAAAGCAGCTGGATATTCAGAAACCCATCACTCCATTGTTTTGGATCAATTTTTCCCAAAATTTATACATTTTAAAAATCTAATTTGGAAAGAGTCCATCATTTTGGATTGAGAATATATGGATATATTCCAATTAGATTTATATTAGAACTAATTTGATGAAAGTAATGAATACATATTAAATTGCTATATGATGCGAAAAATAATTAAAGAAATTACTACATGATCAATAACTAATGTCTTGTAACCCACAACCAAGTTGAATGACTTGCATTATAAACACACGCCATGCATCGGATAATGAAGTTTAGAATAAAATATATTATTTGAGTTTTTCTTTTTTTTTTGCACGAGGTGAAAGATTATGAAGTAAAATTGCACTCGTAAATATGGCGTAAAATAATATATTATTTCATATTTATAACATGTACAAGGTTAAGAAATTAAAATTAAAAAAATTATTTTTTATTTTTAATATGCATGGTAAATGAAGATGCAAAGCAATTAATTCTGTTTTTTTTTTTTTTGACATCTATTCAATGATTAATAATATAATTTCCGTATCTTCCATACCACGGATCTCCCAGAGGCCTAGTCCATGGGAGTACATGCGCTGCTCAGTGCCCATGTGCTTCTCCTTACATACGATGTGCGCAATTTGGTGTTGTCATTACGTGCATTTCATCACAACTTTTGAAGTATCTATATTCTATACATAAATTTGTGACAGAATTTTGTGTCACAACAAATTTTTTGAAGAAAAATTCGCAAATTCACTATTATTTTAAAAAATAATTTTTCACTTCTATAAATACGAACTGATATTAATTTTATTAATGTAGTTCTAGCATCAAATTTATGAATAAGGTTGAAGAGAATCCAGCTTGCTTATTGAAAGTATTATGAATTGATTTCAAATAGTAAGCATACTAAATAATGGAACAAACAATCGGCATATAATAAAAATAAATTGTTTTAAAAAAGAATAGATTTCAAGACCGCACAAAACACCTTTATATATATATATATATGTGTGTGTGTGTGTGTGTGTGTGTATATTTAATTGAAAGAAACTATGTACTAAACATTATACATTTGTCACAATAATTAGCAAAAGTAATCATGTATACATCATATGAAAATTAAACTTAATAACTAATATATAATAAAAAAATAATCATAAAAATTTAAATTCAAAAATTTTGAATTAAGATATAACAGTTTTCCACTACTCTTTCTTGTTTGTTCTCTTCTCCCATTTTTGAGTAGTCGCCCCCAATTTCTAACAATATTAAATCACAAAACAAATTAAGTTTTTTTTACACGGTCAAATCAAGTTAGATGGTAATTAATTAACATGCAATTTGGTTCTTACTGCAAAACAACTTCAACAATGTCTTCAACTATTTTTGCTCCTTGCCAACAAAAACATGCACACCAAATTAAATGAAGAAACCTAAAATTGTAAAGAGCTGGATATGGCACATCGATCATAAAGTGATGGACGATCATCTGCTTGAAGATTTGAGGAAGAGGTGACATGAGCTCAGATGTTAACTTTGTGCCTGGAATACAAATATATATATGCTAATGAAACGCATGTTTGGTTCTGCAACAGAATTCGTAGCTTCCCTTCATGGAACAAGCATGTCCTGAACTAGTCAGTAATGAACAACTGAAACTTTTCAACAAAGGAAAAACATGTAATTATTGCAAACACGAAAAATGAGATAAAAAAAATAAATTACAAGAGGGAATAGAAACATCCATACTGCTAATGATAATGATATGCAAGCTAAGGATTTGAAGCCACTTATAATATTTGCCTCTAATTGTTTTTTTAAACGAAACATTCATCTTAAACAAATTTGCATTCCCTATGTGTGTATTGAATATTATAAATCTAATTATATTGGATGTATAGGTAATTAAAATATGACTAAAGTACATGTTTGCCCCTGAGCATTCTCTAAAGAGTTGTGAGCACCTTAAAAAATTGTAAAGCAATATAGCATATAATCTTTTTTTTGTTAAATGAGATTTTAACCATTTTCACATTTCAAGTATTTAGTGCAAGCTGTGGAACTTTTTATAAACAATGTTGACTGTTAAAATTAAAAAATACATCGATTTTGGAAATTATAAGCTATACTGTTCCCAAAAAAAATTTAGAGTGCCCACAACTCTGTCAAAGAGAATATGATCTTTAATTAATTAAAAATTACTAATTTATGAATTTTTACAAGGAAATGTATTTTCTAAAGTTGATATCCATGAATTTTTACTTTTTTTATATTTTTCATTTTATAATTTTTATAAAGCATAAAATAATCTCTTGTTTTCAAAAATCAAACTTTTTAAAATTTATAAATTCTCAATTTCAGAGGATCTATTATATTCTCTCCTTCCAAATTATAAAACAATTGAAATGACCAAAATAATTGTTTTATCTCTCTTTAATTCACCGACTAACTTTTGTTATAATCTTGATTATTCAAATATGCAGTCAAAGATGATGGGAAAAATATATAAAGAAAATAACACTAAACCATAAGAATATCTCAGAAATAATTCATTACTGGTTACAACAAATTAAAAATGTTGAACTCTACTATAAAAAAAAATTATTGAACTCTTAAGATTATCTCCTGATGCTTCAGCAAAACAAGCCTACATGCGACAACAACCACTGTCATTTCTTCAACCAAAGAGAAGCTTTTATTTTTTATGAACAATATTTTAAAAGAAATTTGGCAAATTTTGTCATCATAATTTTTTTATGGAAAAGACATTAATTTCATTTTGCCAGCCAATTACAATTAAATCAAATACTTACGTGAGTAATGGAGTAGATGCGAGGACAAATGCTGGGGAAAGAGAGGAAAAATTGACAATTGACAGAAGAAAACAAGTGTAGACAATTAAAGTGGGAAGCAATTTGGAATTGCTTTTATTACCTGGCAATACAACACAGCATGATGTGTTCATCTCCCTTCATCAAAATGTTTCTGACATGTCAGACGCCATCTACAGTCCACTATTTCCCAGTTTGTGAAATATCCCAATTTAGCAGCAGGATTGGCCGGGAAAGAAAGTGTCAAATGAAGTTGGGTGCCTACACCACTTGGATGTGGTCTACAGTTCTCCTTCTTAAATGGATAGTATCCCACATATGCTCGATGAACATGATCATCATCATCATCATCATTATTAGTGGCATTTCTTTTATTGGTATGACAATAATCTTCAAACTTCCAATTCACTGAAATATTATAATTCTCATTATCAGCATTGGATTGGAAAGCAAGGGCTACAGCAATTCCCCAACATTCTCCATTACTAGAATCAGCCATGTCACAAGGTATGTCTGCCGTTATGGTTACCACTTCCACTTCTTCACTTGAACTACTCTCTCTACTCCGACAATGTTCCTCTCCTTCAAACCATTCAGGAATTCCTCCTCTCCAGGGGAATTCCATTGGGTAAAAGTAATTATAGAAAAGGTGAATGGGACCCTGCAGAACACTAGCATGTTGTCACGTATAAAACAAAACACTATCAAGTATCAAATATTAAATTATAGCTGCCAAATGGCATTAATTAGTGCCGATTTATTACAATCAGAATGGAACAAAAGTATAAGCTAAGAAACCACATTAATTACATAGGCATAGAGAAGATGAAGAACCTTAGATACACGTGATCGATGGAGGTATTTTGCAACTGCTTCTTTGGGTTCCAACAAATGACAACCAGTCGCTTCTATAATTAAATTTGGAGGAAGCTCGGGAACTTCCTTAAGTTCTCTGCAATGGTACAAATCCAAATATTTGAGATTTATTAAATGAATAATGGACGAAGGAATTTCTGTGATTGACGTTCTATTCACATCTAACAAGTATAGCCTTGTCATATTTTTCCCAAGCTCTGGGAGCTTCTCAAGCTTCCAGCTTCCTCTGAGACTAAGCACCTCCAGATTATTCATTTCCAGGCAACTTGGAAGCGTAACAAGATTATAACAATCTCGCAAACTCAACTCAACTAGTTTCTTCAGTTGTCCCATAGATTCATGAACACGAAATAACTTAGGGCAGTCATCAAGGAACAACTTCTCAAGGTTTGGGGTTGCACTGAAATCTGGAGTTTCTATTAGATCATGAGAATCAGCCAAATTGATGATCCTCAACTTATCTAAATGCTGGCCAACATATAAGACACAGAAGCAAAATGAGAACAATTAGTATTTTCAAAAGTTTAATGATACTATGTGTTTGCATGTATGTGTGTATAACTTATGGAGTGGGGGACCCCCCGGTCCCTCCTTCGCTAAGGGACAGTGAATCTGCATCGTTTAAATTTAATTTAGATGGTCCAAATTTAAAATATTTATTTTTTATATTCATTAAAAAATTATAAAAATTGTTATAAATGCTTGATCACCAATCTAGATAATCCAAATTTAATATAAATGATCCAAACTTAATGTTAAAAAATTTTATAATTTTAATAAATTGACCATTCAGATATTGTGCAGATTTAATATTAAAATTATAAAATTTTTACATTTTTAATATTAAATTTGGATTATCTATATCAAATCTGAACTCTCAACAAGAATTAGAAATCATAGTGAATAATTTTTTTATAATATTTATAAATTGATTATCCAAATATGCTCTAAAAATTACAAGTTTAATATTAAAATTACAAAAAATCTTAATTTTAGTATTAAATTTGTACAGTCTATATTAAATCTTGATTGTTTAGATTGGTGATAAGATTTAATAAATTTTTTTATAAATTTTTTTATTTCAATAAATATAAAATTAAAATTAAAACATTTAATTTGGACTGTCCACATCATCTATGGAGAGGAGAGGAGGGGTAGTGGAGGGATGGTGAGGAGGAGAGAAACCGAGTCCATAACTTATTCAAGATTGGGAAAGGAAAGCATACCGGTGCTCCAATCCATAATCTTTCTATTTTGCTGGAACACAACTCAAGGCTTTCGAGTTCACACAGCTGATCAATCGATGGTAGAGATTTCAAAGCATAACAATTCCATCTGAGAAATTTTAATGAACTGGGAAGAACATTGAGATTCCGTGAAAGACAAACACCGCTCAAGTCCAAAAGTCTAAGATTTTCCATCTTCGAAAAGCAATCTGGGTGCCACTCTGCTTCAAATATTTTTGCTATATTCAAACATATGCTTTTTACTTTTTTCGTTCCCTGTAATAAATGTGTATGCAGATGAATTTAAGATGATGAGCGACAACAGAAATATCAAGTGAAAGAGGAAGATAATGCCATGCATAAATTAACTGTAGCACGCTTAAAAATTAAACTCTTGCCTTATTTCTTTTCAACATGTGATCAATCTCCTCTAGACACCACAATCTGCTACGTTTACAGGGATCACTTTTTGATTCCTTCAAAACAATATTCCTTCCCATCTCTTGAAGCAAATCGTGCATTGCAAGATGATCTTGTGGAAAATATTCAAGCTGGAGGTAATCGCTCATGAAAATTTCCCTTCTCATCTTTCGAAGCCCATCATCCATATATTGACGTACATCGGTGAAATGAATCCAACCATTTTCAATATCTAATTGGAAGGTACTTAACAATGATTTTTCAATCAGAACATCAATTCCAATTACTGAATGAAGACCGCATACTTGTAATATATCTTTCACTTCAGCCTTCCTTCTTTCGACGAAGAAACATGCAATATCTAAAAATATATTTTTGTACTCTTCATCTGCCAATCCTTCATAACTGATAAGAAGATTACTAGAGATATCCTCATGTAAGTTTTGCTTCAACTTGTCTAATGCATCTCTCCATTGAACTTGATCTCTTTTGCAAAGAAATGACCCCAAGACTTTCAGAGCCAAAGGGAGACCACAAGCATATTTAACTACTTCTTTTGACAAATCCAAATAACCTTCCTCAGGCTCATCCTTTTTAAATGCTTTCTGGCATAAAAGCTTAAGGGAATCATCTTCATTCAACTCTCCAACACCATACTCTTCAAACTGTTTGTATTGTGTCAACAATTGTTTATCTCTAGTAGTTATTATGATTTTGCTCCCTTCACCAAACCACTCTTCACTTTCAGCCAATTTGTCTAGTTGGTTTCCATGGCTGATATCATCAAGAACAATAAAAACCTTTTTATGGCGTAAAAAAAATCTTATTTGCTCTACTCCATCATCCGCATTATCTATTTTTTTTTCCTTTTGTGCAAGGCCTGAAAGAAGCTTCGTTTGTAAGTAAACAAAGCCATTCTTTTCACAATCCTCCCTTACATTAGCAAAAAAATAGCTGGCCTCAAACTTGCTTCGAAGTGCATCATAAACAACTCGACTGAGAGTGGTTTTGCCTATACCGCCCATTCCCCATATCCCTACGAAGCGTTTATCATCCAATCCTATTTTTAAAAGGGAGATGATTTTATCCACCTTTGATTGAATGTCTCCAACTAAATGTTTGAAATTCCCAGGCAATTTCAAACGTAATTTGTTCCACACAGATTCCACAATGTCTTCAACAATTCCTGCCTCTTGTCTGCTTTGACCAAAGAATATTAAGTGATAAGAAATCTGTGTTTAAATCCTCATGTAAAACAATGTGTTATAAGAAAATCACTAGTTCAAATGCCATAAAGTTATGACCACTAGAACTGTTTTTATGGCAATCGAGGATTGTTATAAATCAAAGAGAAATGTCAAAAGCATATGATCACGTCCGTCATTCTTGTTCAGGTTCAATTTATTTGAATGATTTTTTTTTTTCCCGCTAAAAGCCATCAAGTCTCTAAAATTAGAATTGTAATCAAACCAACAGAGATAATCATATTTACAACTACTATGGTTCACAACTTTCACTATCTGTTAAGTGTTGAAAGTGGGATGAAGAGAATATATATCATTATATAATAAGTATATTTTTGACTTGTCATTAGAAAAAGTCACACATAGATAATAATGAAAAAAAAAATTGATCTAAACACAAAGAAATTAAAAAATAAAATACTAAGAAGCAAAATTGTGGGAATATAAAAACAAAAAAAATGGGTAAGGAATTAATGATAACTCACTTCTTTCTTGTATCCCAGCCAGATAAATTAGCAATCTTTGTTAAAGCTTCTCTCCATCTTCGTACTCTATCATCAGCTCGAAAATCATTTTCATAGGTCTCAACAGCTTTAGCAAATTTTCGTTTTTGATGTCGTACATCAGATGGATCTATGCCATAAAAAACTGGAAAAACTGTTTCACTGGAGTCCTTTTTGGATTCCACGATCTTCTGCAATTCATCCAAACACCAAGAGGAAGAAGCATAATTCTTGGAGAGCACAACAATCGCAAACATAGATTGCTCAATAGCTTGAAGGAGTTCGTCCTTAATAACTTGTCCTTTGTGAAGATCTACATCATCCCTGAAAGTTTCAATCCCTTGTCGACACAAAGCAGCGTACAAGTGATCAGTGAAGTTGGTGCGAGTGTCGGTGCCTCTGAAACTCAAGAAAACATGATACTTCATCGGAGAAGTTGAAGCAGAGGAAGGACCTGGAACAGCCAATGGAGGAGCTTTTGGCCAAAGGGGTAAAGGGGAATGAAATATTCAGCAACGACAGAACGAAGTGGGAAGAAGGAAGATTGTGGGTGGAGCAAATCAAGAACACCCAACCAGCTTGACTTGGGGTCAATAGTCATCATCAAGTTCTGTAAGGACGCTTGCAAATTTCTACTTTCAATTAATGTTCCCCTTTTTTTGATAAAATTAATGTCCCTTTAACCAGGTATGTGAAGACCGAAAAATAACTGTGGAACACCACGTAAATATTCTAATTATTTAAAGATGCTCCTGAGGAGTGAAGACAATTATAACCTTATTATTTTTACTAATCCATCTATAAAATGTAGAATCATCTTAAATTTTGATGTTTTAATTTTTATATCTTTTATACAGTTCTTACCGTAGCTTTATATTCAAAAAAAATTATTTTAAGATATCATAAAATGAAAGCTTTGAAGTATTGAAAGACCTTTTCAGACCCAAAAAACAAAAAGATTTTAAATGTAAATATTTTTTGTTTCCTAATTACTTGATTACCCATGATCTAAAAAACAAAACGTGGCAATATAAAGTAATTACATAATAAAAAATATTTATACCAGAATTTATGCAATTTCAAAACTATTTTTTCATTTTGTAGGATTTTTGAATTTTGAGAAAATATAAATTTTGATTTCTATACATGCTTTTAGTGCGTTTTGCTATTAATTTCTTTGCTTTTATTTTGCTATTTCATGTCTTTTATCTTTTATTTATTTGTAACGTTAATTTATATGTTTTTTAAATATAATTTTGAGGATTTAAAAATGACTAACACGTTTATAAGCTCTATTACTTTTCATAATGACTTGTTAAATTAAGGATGAGTTATATTAAAATGAATAAGAAATAAGAAATAATCACAACATTAAATCAGTAGAAGGAGAACAGTGTGTATTTTCCCTCCGACCTTTTAGGGAGCTCATCAGTGATTTTTCCCATATTTTAATTTTCGGTGCATGGAGGCAGCTTTTGCTTTTGGGGGAAAAAAAAAAATACTTTACCCTTGGCCTTTGGTTACTTTTTTCTTCACCGTTTTCACATGGGTGGATCATTTTTCGTGTCCTTTTTCACCGACGAACAGGCTGTTTTGTTATCTTTTTGACACAAAACAGGCTTTTTGGTGAGAATAGTGAATAAAGTTACCTAGCTTAAGCTATAGCATGGCCCCTTTATCTTGTCATTTGCAATAATGGTGGGCGCACGCATTGACCACAATCTTGTGGTCATCCTTTAATTGCTCGTGCATTGCATTTGCAAACCAGCTGGATATTTGGAATTCAATCACGCGTTCACATTGTTTTGGATCAATTTTTATTTTTAACATGCATGGTGCATGAAGATGTAGAGCAATTAATTCCTCTATCTGTTAATAGTATCCTTTCTCTGTCTTCCTGGTTACGGATCCCTCAAATAAACCTCGTGAATATAACTCAATGCTCCATGTTCTTGCCGTCCTTCGTTGACATCGAAAGAGATTTTTATTCTTCTTGTATAATAGAAATGAAAAATAGAATGTTGCGCAAGATATTATTATAAGAGCAATCTTATCCAAGTTACAAATCATCAACATATTGTTTGTTTTATTTGAGAAAGAGGAAGAGAGTGGAGGTGTTTTAATAATTCTTATTTAGTTTAGAAGGGGAGGAAGAAGAGGGTAATTATTAATTGTCAAATATACCCTTATTTATATATTTACTATTTTATGTACATTTCTAGTTTTTTTAGCTTTTATAAAACACATCCCTAGAGTTATGGTTACAAATTCTAAAACAAATACAGCACTTTTTCCAATAAATGAAATTTAAAAAGACACTTAATCACATTGATATGATTTTAAAAATTATTAAATAAAAAGCACAAGTGTAATGCCGCCTTACTAATTTAATTCTCAATCAAGCACATTACTGATAATCACCGGAACTAACTCAAAAAGATTATTTAACCATATTTAATCATTTAAAAGTATTTCAAAATCCAAATGTATTTATCTCAAAAATTAGGGATTCCAAATTTTAAAGTTTACAAAACAATTCAATTATGACTTCATTAAGTCAAAAACAAAATACAATTACAAAAGTATAGGATACTATTTGATATCTTGAAAACAACAAGAAGAAAGAGAAAATAAAGGGACTAGTTCCCCTCTTTGCCGCGTGCCATGACACAAGTGTCATGTGCTATGAGCTGTGCAAGATTTGATAGTACACAAAGATAACTTTTGACACGTTCATTTTTCCGTCCAACATTTAGAGGTAGTTTATGTATTTATAAAAAATATTTTATATAAACTAATTAATGATACAAGCTTTACTTTTAAAATAGGGCATTCGATAGATGTTTTATTTATATATTTATATATATATATATTTCAATCATACTCTTACTTTATTAATTAGTAATTAATAAAAATATTTTGAATAAATTAAATGTTATACTTATTACATTCAAGGATACGATTGGAAATATATATAAATTTTTAAAAAATTAAAATTTTAATTAACTTGCTTAAAGAACTAAAAACAATAATTTATATTGTGATTTTTAGATATTTTTCCACCGGATTTTCCAACATTAATTGCGATCAACTCATCACCTATGGGCGGGGTCAATAGTCATGGCCGGACCTACATGCTTAAATGGATGTCTTTGTCACCGAGGGCAAGTTGGGTTGGGAAGATGCATAGCAATTTCCTTTTAAATGTATAAATAATAATAATAATAATAATAATAATAATTTCATTTCCCCATCCTATCTATTTACCTGTTTTAATGTAAGTAGGAGTAATACCATTTTTGTCAAAAGTATAAGTAATACCACAAAATATTAAAAATATTCAAAATCCCCACTAAAAACAGGATGCTTTTCTGGCAATTTAATAAGAGGGATCGGCTCTACCTTGAGAGAGTATAAAATTTTTTGAAGCCTAATCATTTTTAAAGTTGGTTCAAGAGGTGCAAAATGTTTGAATTAAGGAGTATAGAGTATTGAAACATATGAACTGTCCTTATAATTTGTTCCAAATCTAAAGGAATGCATTTGGCCCCTAATTTATATGTGGCACTGCCCATGGAGGGTGGGAGTGGGAGTGAAAGAGGCATCGTTTTCATTTTTTTAAGGTTAATAGTGTCTTTTTCCAACCCTGTAATCCCTATTTACAGCGTCCATTCATGTAATCCAGATGCAATCTTATGATTATTAGAAAATTAGGATGATCTAATGTAATCCCTTTTACGTTACTAAGTCCAACCAAATAGCAAGAATCACCAGAGGATTACATGTAATCATGGTTCATAAAATTGAACCAAATGGGCTATATATGAATTCAGCATTTACTCAAAGCAGGAGGGAGGAGGTCCAAATTGGAAGGCTGCAATGATACATTGAAGCAAGTTGGCAGTAGCCTTGTCAACTTCCACTATCAGAGAAATTCAAATTATTTATCCAAGTCTATGTATTAAACATTATTTTAACTCAATTTCTTATTTTTCTCAAATATAAATAGAAATGGTCGTTTTATAAATTAATTATAAAATATAATTACCCCGAAAAGCTATCTTCCACCAGAATTATTAACCATTTCGAATTTGAAGTGGCGAATATTGATAAAAACATGCGTAACTTTTGCAAAATGCAAATTGTATTGAAGTAGTATCTATGACATGATTTACGAGCCACCCAAAATAAAAATTCCTTCTCACTTCTTTGCAAAACTCACTATCCAAATAAGTCCATTTAGGTGTGATTATGCTTAACTTAATATTTATTAGACTAGCTAGGTTTAAAATAAATTTAATAAAAAATTAATCTGCAGGTCCATATAATTTCCTTCAAATTGAAAAGAAATAATTACAATATAAGTCATTCTTCATAAGCTTTATTTGTTTTAAAATATAAGGCATTGAGTATGTGTGTTATATATATATATTTTTTTTTTCAATCATATCCTTACTTTATTAGTAATTAATAAAAGTATTTTAAATAAATTAAATATTATATTTATTACTTTCAAAAGTATGATAGAAAAGATGTATAATTTTTTTAAAAAATTAAAATTTTCACGAATTTTTTTTAGAATACATAAATCAATTAAAGATTAATGAACAAAATAAGCTCTGAAATATTGCTTGCGCGTTCAATTCTGAATTTTTAAAATATATAAAATGAATCCTAAACTTTTAAATTCATAACAAAATGAATTCTAACCATTAAAATTTTTTAATACCATACTGTTGATATAAGTACTGTTTATCATAGGTCTTAATTAATACTGATGTGTCATTGTGAATTAACGTTACAAATTTTAAATTATTATGTTAATTGTGTTATGAAGCTTAATCTATTATGTTATTAGTATTTTATATCTTAAGTTATTATGTTAGCTATTGGAGGACCATTTGGGTAAACTGCTAAAAGGGCATCAAGTATTTCAGCAACAGAATGAACTGAAGAAAGGAAGGTCATTTTTGGCGCGTGGTGGCAGCTTTTTGGTGCGGTACATCCTTTACCCTTTGGTTACTTTTTTTCTTATCAGTTTTCACGTGGCTGGGTCCCATTTCAATTCCTTTTTAATTGATGTTGGGACTTTGAGCCGTCCATGTCCCCCATGAACAGGCTTTTTAATAATGGCGAACAAGGTTTCCTCAGTTCAGGCTTTAGCATGGTCGATTTATAGTTTATTATTCTTGTCGTTTGCAATAATAGTGGACACAGCCATGAGCCATTGACGACAATCTCTTGGTTCTTTGACACTTGGAAGTTGGAACCCAATCACACGTTCACACTTCACATTGTTTCGGATCAATTTTTATTTAAGAAACCTAATTTAGAAAAAGTCCATCAAATTGGATAGACGATATAAGGATATGCTAAAATTCCTTGTCGAATAAACGCAGTGGACAAATGATCAATGAAGTTGGTGCGCGTGCAGGACTGTTGGTGCCCTGAAAGGACGGATTTGGATTGTCACAAAAATTTTTAAAAAATATTTTGTTTTTTATTTATAAACAAAATGCTAAAATTAATGTTGGTTCCTAAAAACATGATAATTCATCATAGAAGGTGAAGCAATGGAAGGACCTGGAGCGATCATTGAAGTGTTTGGGCAAATTGATAAAAGATAATCAAATATTTCACTTGTCTTATTTACAAGCTATTTTTAATATATTTTATGAGAATTAAAAAAATTTAAATTTTATTAATTTTATTTTAAATTTAATAAGTTCTCACAAATACCTTCTAATAAAGATAAAAAATTATTTTGAAAAAATTTTACTGCAGCCCCCTTGATCAAATTTCTTAACAGTCGACCCCCTAAACTTTTGAAATATCAATTTAGTCCTTGTGAGTCCCCATTTAGGCTAAATTGAAATTAAATTTTTGAAAAAAATGACACAAATAACACCAATCTCCTCAAATAAAAA